TCTAATCTAGTCTTCCATGAGAGAACAAAGCATATTGAAGTTGATTGCCACTTTTTAAGAGAAAAAGTGATCAGTGGAGTGATAACTACATCTCATGTAAGTTTAGGAAACCAGTGGGCAGATCTATTTACAAAGGGGTTGTCTCGGGGCAAAGTAGATTACATATGTGGCAAGCTGGGACTATATGACATATATTCTCTAGCTTGAGTGTTAGATTCGACGGTACAGGGGTATTTTGGTCTTTTGTTTATCTAATTAAAAGTGAATGGTCTATTTTATTCAAGTTTAAGTTACGTGTCCCATCTCTAATAAGGGACAATATTGTCTTTTGTAATTCAGCTTATATATTATAAATACAAAGTGGGTCARCTAGGCTGTGGGACTTTTTCTCTCCTAGCCGAACTCTTCCTCTTCTCTTTCTCTTCTTCATTCATACTTCGAACCTAGAACTGAATAGGACTAGTTTACCTATTTACAATTATGATACTGCACTAAGTTTTGGACTGAATTGTCTTCGATATACCAACCAGTGAAATCCATTAAGGGTTAAATATCTAGGTATGTTGGGGTAGTTTAGGAAATTACTTGAGTGGGTGATGATATAGTGATAGGATCGGCCCCTTTGTTAGACAAAGTAAATATCAGGGTTTACACTCTCTCTAATAGAAACCTAAACTACCGGTAGTGGATTTTAACTATATTTGAAATCTGATTTGCAAAATATATTTAAATGTTATATTACYATTTTATGAAAATGTTTGCAAAAGGTTTTAATCCCGGGATTCATCCAAGCAGAGAGTGTGACACTGCATTTTKCAATCAGGGAAGAGRTCCTTCCTTGTGGACAGTGTTTCGATGATTATGGGCCAAGAGGCAAGGTGTAAGAGACCATTACAGGGCTAATTACCTGATGGGCTTTATCTTAAATAAGTCCATTGCCCTTGGGTCTTCATAGGGTGGCTGAATCCTAGGATCAATGTATAAATGTTGGGCCCAAACTGAGCCCAAAGTGATTGGGTCAGGGGTTCACTACCCCTAAGCAATGAATTTGGCCTAACCTCTTTCAAAGGTAGGGCTGAACCCTTATAGACTTGTGTGAGACCTTTGTGGGTTCCACACCATACAATATTCAGGCCCAAAGTGGCCATGCAACACTTTGGGACGTGAACCATTAAAAAATTGGCCTAAGGCCCTTTACTAATATGATTAGTTAAGAGATCACATGACAACTTATGTGATTTGGGTTGAAAATGAGCACAAATCTAGGTATGGAGCACCCATTCTCTTAAGAAGATAATGCTTATCAATTAAAGATAAAGTCATGATCCAAATTGGATTTGGATAATCTCCTAATTAGACTAGGAGAGTGCTCTATATAAAGGCTAAGAGGGGAGGGGAAAATTCACTAGTTCTATCCAATCTCTTGCTCTCTTCTCCCTTGCCTCCCAAAAACCCTAATTTGACTTAGCTGTGATAGGGACTGGTTTCCATCAGTTCTCTATTGTGTTTTCGCAAGAAAAACATCAGAGGATATCAAGTTCACATGCCCACATCGATCCAAACAAGTTAGGAACCGGTTTTGCTGAAACAATGTTATTGAATTGGCTTTACATACACACTACGCCATCTTTAGTTGGAAACCRACTTTGAACTTATATTGGGTATGAACTACCACTTTGGGAGCTGCACACTATGGTCTCCATATCAAGTATGATCAACTTTAATTTGGGTTTCAAATCTAGTCCAG